TGCATCTATGTCATTGTTTGTCGCTTGACTAAACGCGCCCACTTCATCCCTTGCACCACATCGCACAACGCCAAGGACGTCGTCATTCTCTTCTTCGACCATGTCGCATGCCACCACGGTCTCCTCGAGAACATCATCAGCGACCGTGACCCTCGCTTCCTTTCACAATTTTGGAAACACCTCTTTAAGGCCTACGGAACCACGCTCAAGTATAACACTGCATTCCACCCACAGACTGATGGACAAACCAAGAAGATGAACGATACACTCCAAAGAATCTTGCGGAAGTATTGTCATCCACATCAGCACGATTGGGATCAGTTGCTCACCACCGCCGAGATCGCCTACAACAATGCTGTCTGTCCTTCCACTGGCATGTCTCCATTCTACCTTGACCTTGGCTATCATTCTCGCTTGCCCTCCGAATTCTTGCTTCCCTCGCAACTCAACCCCTCCACGCCCTGCCCTTCCCTCAATACATAGGCAGCAACAATGAATCGCCTCCTCAGAGAAACAACCGAAGCCCTTGAACGAACACAAGAACAACAAGCATCCAGACTAACAAACATAGACGTGACGTGTCATTCAAAGTAGGGGTCAAAGTCTGGCTCTCTGCCAAACGCTTTGAACCCGAACACGGCTTGTCCAAGAAACTCTCGAACAAGTGGCTCGGTCCCTTCCCCATCATTGAACAAACCTCCCCCGGCAACTACAAGCTCCAACTTCCCCTTGACATGAGTCGTGTCCACCTTGTCTTCCACGTAGAACACCTAAAAGAATACCATGAATCCCCACTCCAATTCGCTGACCGCCCTTACCCCAAACCTCCACCGATCATGTTTTCCACAGGCCAAAAATTCGTAGTAGAATCCATCATAGGACAACGAACCACACAAGTATCAGACCATCCGGAACCAATCAAAGAATACAAAGTCAAATGGACCGGATACCCCAATGAAGAATCTACATGGGAACCTCTCTCTAATCTCAAGAACGCTATGAAACTTGTTCGTGCCTATGATCGCGCCCATCCTATATCCTAGCTACCCACTATGCCTAAACCTTGCCTTAACCTCGCCTAAACCCTGCCTCAACCCTGCCTCCCTGCACTAGACACATCCCCTGCACCCAGCAAACCCCTTGCCCCTTGATCTCCCTCTGTCTGATCCGCTCTTGCCTCCGTCTCGCCCCGTTCTCCCATCTATTCTCTGCCACATCTCTGTCCCTCTTGTCCAAGTCCTACATTTGGCCCCTGCGCGTCGCCGACCATAATGGATCTAATGGCAAGCGCACAAGGAAGATGGCATGCTGCAGCTCAGTACGAGGAGATAAGACAGCTGGTTGGCCACCATGCCGTTCCCGTTGGCCGGCACCTTGGACTCGCATACTTTTGGAACAGCACCTCTGACATGGACATCAAGATCAGTCCGCGACCTGCTATCCGGATCAGACCTTGTCATCAGATCGTGTACCGGACGCAACCTGCTACGGGGACAATCAAGCTGAAGCCCTCGCCGTCTACATCACAGAACTGCTGAAGACTGCTTCCTCACCGCCACTTCTGCGACACCCTCCAAAACCTTCCTCAAGACATTTTATTGCTTTTGACACTTCGTTACAGACCTGAGACGTTGTTTTCCCTGACCCCTCAGACAACCCAGCACTTGAGCATTGAACGAACAATTTTTTTATATATTTTTTTTCCCTCAAACCTGACAGCCTATAACCTTGTAGAACACCAGGAGGACTACCCTGTTACTTGTAGAACCTCAATAGGATTACCCTGTTACTTGAGCATTGTTTCCCTCACCCTTGTAGAACCTCAATAGGATTACCCTGAGCATTGATTCCCTCACCCCTGTAGAACCTCAATAGGATTACCCTGTTGCTTGAGCATTGATTCCCTCATCCCTGTAGAACCTCCATAGGATTACCCTGCTACTTGCATTACTCCCCCTTTCCTTTTCCGACCAGTGATCGGCCCCGTCCCATCCTTCACAGTTGTTCATTGGGTCTTTGGCAGCCGGGACGTTACCTTCCAGAGGGAGAGGATAGTGTTACGGACTAAGCCAGGGCTCGATCCCTGGTCCGCGGGCTACCACCCGCCGGGCTGCTATTTCATTTTTGAATCTCTGATCTCCGGTTCCTGACTGTTGGCGCCCTCTGCAGTTGGCGCCCGTTCTCAAATCCTCTCTCTGGCACTTTCGGATTTCAATACTTGGCGCCATCCGACATTCTGGCGCCCAGGCTCAGACCTTCGATTTTCAGTTTAGCCCCGAGGTAAATTGCAAGCTGAGTTCGGGCATTCAGTTTTCGGCCTTCAGCGTGACTTGCTGCGACATTGTGTACGGAACCAAGATTGCGACTTTGCTACTTTGCGTCTTGGCCACTTTGTGTCTGCGTCCGTTGAGTCGTGTCGAATCAGTGTCGAGTTGAGTGAGTGTGTGTGTGTGCTCTCACTCCCTCCCTCTCTCTTCCCTGACTTCGCTGCTCTAACTCAGCCTCGTCAGAGAGAAAAATGCAAGGAAATGAGCAATAACGAAATGACAAGACTTCCAGATTGCAAATCACATTGAAAGCCAGATAGTCAAATGCTGTCCAGAAAGAAGAAATGCACTGATATGACACCGGTGGAGAACCAAAGCAGTGAACTCAATTGTCAATGAAAGCATATACTTGCCACCACCAACAATGCAATCGAAGCTCTTCCTCCTATTCGCGCTCAGCGGCCAGACTACAATTACACAGCTACTCTATCCTAGACTACACAGTGATGAAGCAACCAGTTGACGTCAGCAGCAACAACCGAAATACATGGAGATGTCGACCATGCAGACCATCGCCAAGACCAGGTACGTGCCCTCACATCATCATCCTCATCTCTCTCGCTCTCTCTCTCCCCCGTCTTCTTCACCCATGTCTCCCCTCATACGAAGACCACCACCATTCCCCGCTGACCATGTCTAAGCCCAAGCCCGGCTGTGGGGGCTCGATTATGGCGCTGCCACTTGCAGAGCCCTCCTTCCTCGCGACCGCGTTCACATGCACAAGCACCTCCGCTTAGCGCACAGCAAGCAGCCCACAAGCGCACGCTCCAGCAGCACTGGCCCTTGCACAAGCAAGTGCCCAAATGCCTTGTGTGTAGCCCGGCCCTTTCCTAAATGGGAAGTGGCAAGTTCGCTGCCTGCCGCCTGCCTCGCGTGATCAATTTTCCAGTAGGTTCACTCTCGGCCAAAGTGTCAGCGCCTAGGCCTGTCAGACAGTGGCCTGGGACCGAATTGGTTAGGCATGCCCAACCACCCAGGCACAAACGTGCGGTGTTCCCTGCTTTCACCACGTTGCTGGAAGAGCTTGGAAGGCTCACAAATATTTCAGATTCTCACAAGCAAGTCGGATGTAACCCACTGGCACGTGGCAACTGTCTGGCGCCCACGAAGCTTTGCAAAAATTGACGCTCACAAATATTTCAGATTCTCACAACCAAGTCGGATGTAACCCACTGGCACGTGGCAACTGTCCGGCACCCACGAAGATTTGCAAAAATTGACGAACTCAGGGCTCAGGGAGCCAGCTTCACTTAGGGCGGGCATGCGTCTGTTGCTGGGGCCTTATGCAGGTATGCCGAGGGGTAAAATCCTCGCACAACCCAGCGCATTTTGAATAAGGGCAAAGTGTTTGCATCCATCAATAACATTGAAAGAAGAAAAAAGGAAGGAAAAAAAAGGGCCTGTTTTACAGCATAGCGAGCCAGTTGCACCCTCAAGTGTGGACGGAAGTCGATCTCCATATGGTAATCGTACGTCTCCACGCTCGAGACAAAAAAAAACTGCACACGTGTCGAAACAGTGTGTGCCAAGGAAACACCCCCATGGCCGGCGAGTTATTGAAGAATAGGGTAGATATATAATAACTTCGCACTTTTCAGAAAGTTATTAACTGCAATTGATTTATTTAAATTTATTATATTTTTAATTGCAATTAATTGATGGGCTTACCTTGGCTGATGCAGGACAACCCCAACATTTACATTCCGCTTGGCTTCCCTCCTCAATGCCTGAATGACAAGTCGCGATGATGTGCTATCCAGTCCTGACGTGGGCTCTGTAAAGCAAAAGGTTCACGAAAGTTGAGACCCCTGAGAAAACCCTAAGAACTTAGTGCGATTTAGAAGAAAATTACAGAACAAAAAAAAAAGAAAAAACAACTAATACGAAGCAAAAGTTTGACATGGGGGCATTCAGAACAAAGTTCAACAAACACTTGTTTTTTTTTTTCGGACCATTTCTTGATTTATGTGTGTCATCCTTGCGCCGGGGCCATGCTAATCTTCTCTGTACCGTTCCAATTTTAACGGATGTCCAAAGGACACACACTTTGTTTCTAAGTGGGTGAGATGACTAGATTTCGACAAACAGTTTGTTCTAAGTGGGTGAGATGACTACCCATATACAAAGGAAGTGAGGTGGAGAGGTTTCAGAACACTAGACCACAGAAGCAACAAAATAAACACTACTCAGAAGAGCAGGCTTTACATACCCCTCTTCTTTTCCTGTTCTGTCCCTCTTCATCTCTCTCTCATTTATCCTACTGTGGTTAATGGCCAGTTCACACTCAGTGGATGATGAGAAAAACTCATGAACAGAGAAGATGAAAGTAAGCAAAATGGGCACTTTATCAAGACATGCAATTATTTAAGGCAAAGGGGACGTCTAAGCACTAGGAAATGGGATCTATCACCGCAGCGGCAGGGGAATGCGGTCGGCATTTGGGCGTCCACCATCCCGGAACAGGTATCAGATTAAGTCGAAAGAATATTCTCTATTCGAACCGAACCTATACACCCATATACGGCCGTTTTCAAAACAGCTTTCTGCACAACATCCCACATCTCTCTCTCTCTCTCTCTCTCTCTCTCTCCCTCTCTCTCTCTCTCTCTCTCTCTCTCTCTCACACACACACACACACACACACACACACACACA